CAGGCTCGCCCGGATTCCGGAGAGCTTTCTCCACTTTTATCCAGCAATACACGCCTGATGTTGTGGCGATGTTCGAACCTCGCATTAGTGGAAAGAACGCGGACAATTTTATGCGTTATAGCAAATTTGAGAACTCGTTTCGCATTGAGGCCAAGGGTTTCTCGGGTGGGATTTGGATATTGTGGAATGACGGGGGTAACGATCGAAGTCCTGGATTATTCTCGTCAGATGGTACATGCCCGCATGACAAAGGATGGAATCAGCTGCCTGGTGTCCTTTGTATATGCCAGTCCCGTTGTAGCAATTCGTAAGACATTGTGGCTCGAGTTGGAGAGGTTCGCGACTACAGTGTCTGAACCATGGATTATTGGAGAAGATTTTAATTGTCTTTTACGTCAATCTGAGAAGATAGGGGGGTCACCAAATTTCTGTAACGTTAGCCAAGAGTTTGCGGACTGGCTTTTCAATAATAGTATACAAGAGGTGCCTACGGACGGACACCTTTTTCACGTGGATCTGCGACACACGTAATGGAAGGGTGGCCGAGAAGCTTGACCGTTTCGTAGCGAACTTACCCTGGATGGACTCATTTGAGATGGCCAGGACCCGTCTCCTCCCGAGAGTTCACTCCGACCATTCTCCGCTTATGTTAGGATTCGGTCGGGCTAGACAACACCCAAACGATACGAAACCATTCCGATTCCTGGCAGCGTGGCTACTTCATCCTGACTTTGCTGATATGTTGCAACACGCATGGCAGCCATCTAATTGTTATATGGAAGTAGCGGACAAGTTTGTTGTGGCAGCAAAAGAATGGAACTCCTAAGTATTTGGGAATATTTTCCACCGTAATAAAAGGTTGTTGTCCTGAATTGGAGGAATCCAGAGAAGCAGACAATTTTATTCCCGGGACCGGCTAGTGCACTTAGAGAAACAACTTCGTGTTGAGCTCGACGAAGTTATCAGACAGGAAGAATTACTACTGATACAAAAGGCCTCAAGGGATTGGTCCTACCTCGGTGATAGAAATACGGCCTACTACCACAGGAAAATCAAGCACCGCCAGAGGAAAGGACGAATTATCGAGTTGCTAGATGACGAGGGAGCTTTAATAACTGACCAGACCTCTCTTTGTCGTTTAGCAACGGACTTTTTCAGAAACATTTATACCGCAGGCCCAACCCTAGTGTCTCCCGCCGCCCAGCCTAACCTCTTCTCGAGTTGTGATGCCGACCTTATGCGGCCCTTGGCATGTGCGATACTGGACGATGAGATATTGTCAGCACTCCACAACATGGGACCATTGAAAGCGCCATGTGCGGATGGATTACATGATCTCTTCTTCCAAAAAAAAATTAGGAGACCGTGGGCCTGACAATTCAATCCTTTATCAGACAGATGTGGCATGATGGAGTTGTCCCAGCCAAAGTAAATCGTACCTTACTTGTTTTAATCCCTAAAGTGGAGCATGCATCCACAATTAGACAGTTCCGACCCATAAGCTTGCTTAATGTGGTTTACAAGCTCTTCACCAAAATTTTGTTGAATCGAATGAAGACTACTCTGCCAACGTTGGTCCACCCAGCTCAGGCGAGCTTTGTACCGGGCCGCAAGATCACGGATAACATAATACTCGCACAAGAATTAATCCACTCAATGAGCATAAAAAGAGGAGGGAAAGGTTTCATGGTTATTGAGGTGGACCTTGAAAAGGCCTACGACTACCTTCGATGGGAGTTTGTTGAAGAAACTTTGCGACTGGCCGGGTACCCGGATAAGTTTACTCAGGCAGTCATGGCATGTATTTCCTCAGCCTCGATGAATTTGCTGTGGAATGGGACGATTGGCGAGGAGTTCCGGCCGAGCAGGGGGGTAAGACAGGGGGACCCCATATCACCCTGCTTATTCGTACTGTGTATGGAGAGATTAGCATAGAGTATCTGCACATCGGTTGAAGCACATGAATGGCGACCGATCTCCGTTGGGAGAGGGGCTGTGAAAGTGCCTTTCTTAATGTTTGCGGACGACCTTCTCCTTTTCCTTGAGGCTTTTGACGAGCAGGCCAGAGTCGTGAAGCAAGTCCTTGAGTGCTTTTGTGATATGTCGGGACTTAAGGTGAGTTTGGCAAAGACCCAGGTCTTTTTCTCAAGAAACGTGGAAGCCCGAGAGCAAAGCCGTCTTGCGAGTGTTCTCAATTTCAAGTTAACGGACAACTTAGGAAAATATTTGGGAATTCCAGTTGTCCATGGGCGCGTGACAAAAGAGATGTTTAAGCATATAGTAGAAAAGATGGAGTCGCGTCTAGCTGGGTGGCGAATGAAGTCCTTATCTCTAGCTGGAAGGGTGACCCTTACGAAGTCAGTCTTAAGCACACTGCCTTTTTATTCCATGCAGACTGCTAGGATCCCGGGGACGGTTACTGATGGCCTCGAGCGTAGAAGTCGTGCTTTTGTATGGGGTGGAACGATTGGCTAGAAGAAACTACACCTAGTAGCATGAAAAGACGTGTGCAAGCCTAAAAACGAGGGAGGCTTAGGAGTGAAAGATCTTTGAAAAATGAACTCGGCCCTGCTCATGAAATTAGGGTGGGAATTACTGACAAATCCGACATCCCTCTGGGTGAAGGTATTCTCGACTAAGTACTGCTTAAATAATTGGCATATGCTCGGGTCTTTTCCTGTGAGGAGTGTGTCTGGCTTATTTTATGCATTAAGCAAGGTCTGGCCCAAGGTGGTGAATGGCACGCGATGGGTAATTGGCAATGGCGAGACAATATGGTTTTGGCTCGACTCGTGGCTAGGCGCTAATGGACCATTGTTACGGCACATAATTCGCACGCGCAGATAGGGAATCTTTTCTCGAAAGTGGTGGAGTTCGTGGATGAATATGGGAGATGGAAATGGGATAGCTTTCACGGTATCCTCCCTTCGTCCATAATCCTCCAAATAGCAGGTTGTCTTCCTCCTCGCGCCGAGGCTGGGGAGAATCGAATTATATGGGGTTTTTCCGGGGATGGAAAGTTCTCGACGAAATCTGCGTACCAGGCATATCTCGCGTGGAGAAAGATCTCGAAAAACCTTTATGGAATATTATATGGCAAGCCCCGGCACCTCAACGAGCTCGTACGACCTTATGGCTGGCTGCTAAAGAAAGACTCCTTACTAACGTCGAGCGTATGCGAAGGCACATAACAGACACCTTAGATTGTGAATTCTGTGGAGAGTGTGAGTCCGTGATTCATGTGCTAAGGGACTGCCCCTTAGCCAAAGCGCTATGGGAAGGATTGTTGTCGGCCGACACGATGGGACTTTCTTCCAACTTCCTCTCAAGCGGTGGATTCGTAAAAACCTCGTGCTGCAGCGGGGAGGAGAGCAGGCGGAGTGGAGCTGCATTTTTCCGATTGCTGTTTGGAAATTATGGAAATGGCGCAACGAACGGATTTTCGAGAATACCACCCCAACGATCGACAGCAAGAGAGACGAAGTGCTGAGGCTAGCAGAAAGTTATTTCCAGGCAGAGGAGGACTACGCAAAGGTTGGAGCGGTGAGACATATTACACGATTGATACATTGGGCTCCGCCGGAACCCGGGTGGGTCAAAGTAAACAGCGATGGCGCTTTCGATTACCACTCCGGAATGGGGAGCGCAGGAGGCTTGATCCGAGGAGAAATGGGAGATTGGATTGAAGGATTCATAATGAACATTGGGCACTGTACCATTACGGGTGCCGAGCTCCGGGGACTCTTTCAAGGGCTACAATTAGCATGGAATTCAGGATATAGACAAGTGATGGCCGAGGTCGATAGCTCGTGTGTGGTGACAATGGTGCGCCAACAAGAAGATGCAAATGAACCCCATGGTTCACTAATTCTGGCGATTGGTGATCTACTCCAGAGAGATTGGACAGTTAGAGTCCATCATGTGCATAGAGAGGCGAACTTCGCAGCCGATTGCCTCGCCGGATTGGCGGCACATTATCCGGTTGGATTGCAGCGACTACATTCCCCTCCTCGGGAGTTGGGAACTTGGCTCGAGCATGATGTTATAGGGGTGCCATATCCCCGACGAGTATTAGCCTAGGCTTTGGCCTCCTTCATTGTACCAAAAAAAAAAAGAATTAGAGGAAAAACAAAAATATGAGAAATACAAAGAAAATACCACAAAATCATTGTAGTACTAGTGTAAGGGGTAAGGAGGATTTAAAAGAATAAAGGACTTGAACTTTGTTCTTACCTATTGAAGATTGTATTCAAGTCGAGCCAAGCCGAGCCGAGCTGCTCTAGTTCAAGCTCGTGCTTAGCCGGCTCGAGCAAAGTTTCTTTAAGCTTGTGAAAGTTCAGCTCATTTAACAAACATAAAATCTTAAACGATTCACTTGCAAACATATCTTCGCAACATGACATATTTGTAGAGTGTAGACTGTGTAGTATACATACATATATAATGCTATTGCTCTGCCTGACTGCGTCTACACATCATGTACCTCTAGAGCAAACACTCGAATGGTGGTCTGTGATTAAAAAATTCTTACTAGTATGAATAGAATGGAACATTTAGCATTAAGGACCGCATAGCGCAGTGGATTAGCGCGTCTGACTTCGGATCAGAAGGTCGTGGGTTCGACTCCCACTGTGGTCGGAGACTTTTTTTTACTTACGTCCAATGGGCATAGGCATAGCCCATTCTTATTTTAATGGGCTCTGTATTGTTGTATTTTCATCTTCTCTTTTTTATTTTCAGCTGGACTGTCAATGGGCCCATAAGTTGCTCATTCAAGAACAAGATAATTGGCCAGGCCCATCTCACTCTCTCTCTCTCGCGCACACACTCTCACTCTCCTCAAATCTGAATCACCTGCCAACCACCACCACCTCTACCAAACCTGACGTCTTATACCCACGCGCCGCCACACTCCTCCGCCTCTTCCCTTCTTCTTCACTCCACCCTTCTCCATTTAAACCCCCTTCTTTCTCTCTCCCTCTCTCTCTCTCTCTCTCACCATGAAGCAACTCCACAAGCAATCCTCAAACACCAGAAAAGACGAGGAGATGCCCTTCTCCCAAACCCCGCCCTACTCCCCCAAATCCATGAAGCATCCTCGATCCCTCCCCAGATCCCTCAACTACATACTCCGCGAACAGCGCCTCCTCTTCATCCTCATCGGCGTACTCATCGGCTCCACCTTCTTCGTCATCCAGCCGTCGCTCTCCGCTCTCTCGTCGGCGGACCGCCGCAGCCCCGGGATCTCTTCCGGCGGTCGCCACTCGCTGGCCAAGGCCAAATTTCTGGATCGGGAACTGTCGGCCGATTCCAGGAGCAGCTTCGTCGATGGGAGCTACAATCGGTACTCAAATGGTGTTGGGCGGGTGCCGGTGGGGATCGGGAGCAAGAGGAGGAGGATCGTCGTCACTGGCGGCGCCGGATTTGTCGGGAGCCATTTGGTGGATAAGCTGATTGCCAGGGGCGACGACGTGATCGTGATCGACAATTTCTTCACGGGGAGGAAGGAGAACGTGGTGCATTTGTTCGGAAATCCGAGGTTCGAGCTGATCAGGCACGATGTTGTGGAGCCAATTTTGCTGGAGGTGGATCAGATCTACCACTTGGCCTGCCCTGCATCGCCCGTGCATTACAAATATAATCCCGTCAAGACAATCATATCCTTTTTTTAGTTTTCTGTAGATTTTGCTACATTGTACTAGTGATGACTGATGGCTATGAGATTTATGCTTGCTTGCTTATGTTCTTGCATTGATGTGCTTAAGTGATATGTTTCTTGTTAGAAGTCGTGTAATAACTAATCCCATATGGATTAGTTACTAGGATGTTATTGTGTACAAGTGTGGGGGCACCCTCTTCTTTTGAGCTAGTTTCTGAGATGAGTTCTGCCTAGGCCATTTATCATGGTATCAGAGCACCAATGTTTTGTTTGTTTGGATCTGATGTTGGGTGTTGGGCCCAGCCTATTTGGTTTGGCATACTGTGCGTGGAAGCCGGTGTTAGAATTTACGTTTATCTCACTTTGTTATTGGGTTGTTATTGTGTATAAGTATGGGTTGTAGCTTTTGGGTATGAGTTCTACACAAACCAATTTATCAGTTCTCATGTGGGTATGGGCAGTTTATGCTTGTCGTGTTTTCTTCTCTTGGTTTTGGTCAAAACGAAAAAAGAATATGTTTTGCTGTTTTGTTGCTTTTGAAATTTGGTTGAGATCCTTGACTGAGTGATTAAAAGACAAATGTGATGGGAACTCTTAATATGTTGGGCCTTGCGAAGAGAATTGGTGCGAGGTTTCTTCTAACTAGTACGAGTGAGGTGTATGGGGATCCTCTTGAGCATCCCCAGAAGGAAACATATTGGGGACATGTGAATCCTATTGGTTAGTTATGCTGTGTTTCCTTTGTTTTGTTTCTTAATTATTCTGCTTGGGCTGCACTTATATGGTTTGATAATTGATCATCAGGCGTAAGGAGCTGCTATGACGAAGGTAAACGAACTGCTGAAACCTTGACTATGGATTATCATCGAGGTGCTGATGTTGAGGTAAAATCACCTATGCTGCATTTCTCTATAGGTGTCTCTAATGTTATATTTGACGAAGAGGGTTTAGCGCAGTGGCGCATACCTCGCTCGGCGTATCCCATATCCCGAGTTCGAGTCACTGGGAGGGGAATTG